AGGTCATTTAATTGCATATATAGCAAATTAACATTATACATAGTTTTCTTTCACTGAGATAAAATCTGCCTTCTCCATAGAGAGGAAGTTAACAGCACTAAGCTGTGTACTCATGGTGTCTGTGATACTCAGACCATTAAGAGTTTTGACAAATTCTATATGGCTTTTCCACGCTTCAATTATCCTATCAAGCCATGGGAGCACCGCACGGCCGACAGCTACATGACACTTTCACTTGAATAATCAAACCCACAAACATTCGTGCACACACACAGATGCATAAAAGCCTGCAAACTCATCAGCACTAGAATGGCTTGCTCTTGCATATGTATCTGCATAACTATGTGTATACAGTCCATTAATCCCTATTAACCCTACTGTCTGTTATCAACCTCAGCAAGACTATCAACCATGTCCTGTTAAGGAGGTCAGAGAGGATAATAGGCAAAAGTCACTGATATAGAGTGACTGTCTGTATGTGTCCATGCAAACGTTTGTATGTGGAAGTGTGCATTATCGTTTTCATGCACTCTAGTCTGCTTGTGTTCCTGGATCTGTACATCATATCTGGTTACCAATTCACTCCCACATATATGTGTGTGTCTGTGTCTGTCTGTGTGTTGATTAGAAAACAGGTTATATGGATTAGCAGATTATCAGTGCCTGTGTAAATGCTCTCTGTCTGTTTATTCAGCTCTGTTTGTGGGAGGGATTTGGAGGAGACAGACTGCCATTGATCAACCGGCCAAGGTGAGCAATGAAGCGAACCCTGTCTGTCCACGGTTTAGTGGCTCTAGTTTGGATGAGGGCACGTGTTTGTGTGTGGGTGTCTTTTGTGGACCTTTTTGAGACACACAAAGGGAGAGAGTGAAAGTGAGCATGAAGTGTGCATTTGCGTATCATTTTATACGCAAGGATTAAAAGAGGAGTCAAAATCTCACAAATTGTGAACACTTTGTTTGCTGAAGTTTAGTAGAAGTAGCATTTTAGAGTTATTCATAGGTTTTAAGTTCAGGACCATTAGGCTCAAGTTTACTAGAATCTTAATGACAAGATTATGTACTAAGAATTTAAACTTAGGGAGAAACATACTACATCTCAGTTAAAGGCAGTTGTATGCTTGATGATGGGAAATTGTGCATGTAAAAATGAGGCTGAACATGAAATCTTGATAATGTATTGCACTCAAAATATTGAATAAAGTCTGTGGGGATGGATGCAACATTTGAGTTTTCCATAATATCCCTGCAAAGAATAATGTAAAATAAGGAGGTCGCAGGGTAAAGAGAGACAAAATATGTAAGGAAGGAGTTTTACTTGGATAGAAATAGTAGGTATGTGTGAGAGAAAAATAAGGTCTGCATGTGTAAGTGAGATATCGGGGGGGGGGGGGGTTTCCAGCCTGCGAGAGTGAGTAAGAAAAAGAATAAGAGGGAATGATATATGCTGTATTGCTGGCAGCTGTATGATGGGAAGAGAAAAAGTGCATCACACTGGGAGTTGCTCCACCAGGGCGGCAGATGAAGCAAAATAGAAGGAGGTGATACTGTGAATAAGGGAGATATTGTGCGCAATGCAGATGACAAACCAGGCGGCAGAAAAGCCTTTATCTGCCTGCGAAACCAGCAGCTTAAAACTATCACCTGCACTCTCTTTCTCTGACCTCCTTCACCCTCCCTCTACACCCCTCTCTTTTCTTTTTCCTTCAATAGCCAGTGCCTTTTTTCCCCTACTACAGTCCTGACAGATTGGTCTGGATATCTCTCTTAGTCCCTCATCTTATCCCTGTCGGGTCACTTTGCTCGATACCTTTCTTTTATTTCTTTACAAAGTACAGGAAAGCCAAACACTCACTTGTCATCAGATTTTGTGTCTACATACACCTCCATTTACACACATGAAAGACACATATTTCCCCAGACTTACTCCCCCATGCACATGCTGGGAGATGAAGACACATTTGTTGAGTCAGAGACTTATAATATTAGCTCTTACATTCGGTTAGAAGTGTAATGTGAAGGGAAGTTTTGGTGTCCCATTGGATTGAGCCTGACATGAAAAGCGGCAGTTTTGTTCACTTTTTCTGTATTCAGGTGGTGATCTGTGTGCTGTCTAGGGCACAGATGTTTCAACAGGAGCATAGAAACAGTGCCAAGGAAAGAAGAACAACCTTTTCAGAATATTTCAGGTGAAGGTTTAGGGGCCACTTGGTGTTTGTAAGGAAGGTGGGCGGGTTGGCCATTAGGCCTTCTTTGAATGTGGTCATAGAATGCACTAAAATACTGGTCAGACGTAAATAAGCTAGTAAATTTTCCATTAGTGGCCAAGTGCAATGTGGTGTTTGTCTACAGTATTTTCATCTTAGAGCATTTATTTCCAAACAGTGCATTACACTTTCCACACCATTAAAACCATTAAGACAGATGACTTATCCATTTAATCATATGATATGTCTAACATAATTTTGAGTTAATATTGTTTAGTGAAACACAAACTTTGCCTTAAAGGTGAACTCTTGGTACCTTCAGCAGCAGTCGTCTCCAGCCATGTGCATAATGCAGCAACAATGTTTTCGATAAGTTGTTTTGGAAAGTATCATGGACGCTTCGTATTTATTTGATTCAAATAAACAAACCTGGTTGTCAGTGTCAAACATATTGCGACCCAACTAGCAAGTTAACATTTTCTGAGCAGCTCAAAGCTTCACCAGCCACAGTAAATATGCTGTGATCCATACTACAGTTGGAAATTTGAACAATGCCAGGTCCAAGTGGATTAGAAACACACACCTTGCTAAAACTACTGAAATCCAATACAAGGGCCCTGCTAAAAAGCAGTTTTTGAAGCTTATAATCCTCAGTACACTTAATATAGAGCATTTAATGTTCAACATCCTTCCAAAATGTCCAGACAGTTGAATAAATGGCTCTTTCTCACAGTGACAACAAAACTAAACATTATAAGCTTTGAGTAAAGGAGGGATTTATTATAGAGCTGTTGTATTGGATTTTAATGGATTTACTGTACCTATACTGGCAAAAGATACAGCCTGAAATCAGAAATTCTGGAAAAGGAAAAGAGAGAACGACAGCAGGCACTAATTATGCATGATGAATATGGATCTGAAACATTGATGGCATGCTTAGGAAGAAATGAGACAGATACAGGGAGAAGAGAAGAGAAGAGAACTGTCAAATTTCTCTATTTGTTTTCGACTGTGTGTCTCTATGTGTGTGGTTGCCTTATTACCTCCTTTCTTTCTCAGCCCATCTCTGTTTAATTCTGTCCCTCTATGATTCTGGCATTTTCCCTTCACATTTTTACTTTACATGTCGACACGACACAAACATGTTCCTCCCTCTCTGCCTCGTACCATAAGGTTCTCACTTCACTCCTCAAACTGACACATCAGAGAGAATCAGCAGGATCTAGCAGATATGGTCCAGTGCCTGTAAGACACCATTGCACTGTTGTTCAAACTGGAAACTGACAGAACAACACAACAATACATCAGAGGCCTTAATACTGACATTTAGCTAGAAAAATGATGGTTGAGATGTTTCTACCATATTCCTATCTATGCTAACCTGCAACATTCAGCTCACAGGCCACAAATAATGAAAATAAAACACAAGCAAACAAAATTTCTTCACCAGATGGTGAATAAATTGGATGTTGTTCACAAATTGGACAGGTCACTCCTGTGGACATCTGCTGTGCTCCACACCTAAAGTCAATTACGTTTGCAGTTACTAATATAGTGTAATTTAACTACATTGCCTTCTTTGATTCAAATAAGTCAAATTGCACACTTAATAGAGAGATTTACCTTTAAAACAAGGACATGCACAACCGCTCAGTAAAGCAAAGTGAAAATTAAATCCTTCCATGTTTGACATCACTGTAAGCAAAGCTTAGCTTGCAAGGCTTTCCCACCTCTATACAACTGCTTCCCGTGGCGCTACAGAAGTTGAATCCTTTATATTCCCTCTCAGTAACTCACAGAGAGCCTGCTAGGCTTGCCTTCCACAATTTTCCTAACTCTCTTCTTGACGTAGCACCAGCGGAGTTGACGATACAGTGCTTTATCCGTCCAACTGGCTCACTTACCGTGAATGGGCTTAAGATGGTAATCCTGTTATCGGGGAATACTACTTGGCACGGATGCAGACCCACACTCACACACAGGCACTAAGGCATACATGAATGCACGCACAAGCACGGAATATGCAACATCTGAGGGGAAGTGTGGGAAAGAAAGAGTGAAAATAAATAGAATATCAGTAAAACTATGATGAAAAAAGGCATAGTCCAGGTTGACAGCAGCAGCTTGAACTGATAAACACTGAAGTAATTATCTCAGCTCTGGTTTATGAACAATGGCTT